GTGAGAGCCCCCACCCCAAGTCTGTTGTATCCTAGGTACTTTTCTTCTCACACCCCAGGACCCTCCTCTTCTCTGCCCCTGATGTATTCTCAGGCATGGCTTGGGGGTCAGTATTTTCCTTGAACTGACACTCTTGGTGCCCCATCCTTTGGGTGTCATCTATGTTATTCTCCTCAACCCTATTCTCTTGAGACACTTCCTCCATGGGCAAAAGCATCCATTTCTAGGACATTAACTGCTACTTCAGTTGATAAATCCAACTCTTCACCTCCAGGCAGATTCTATTCGCCTGTGCAGTACCATGGAGAGAGCTAGGTGAACTTCAGGTCCAGCACCACAGACAGTTCCAAGACATGTACCTATTTATTGAGAATCTTTGTGGAGCCTTTTTATCTGACATGAACAAAGGCAGGTCTGCATTTTATGGGGCCTGAAACTCATATGGGGCCTGAAACTCATATAATTTGGGGAGCCCTCTTTAATACAAAACTGAAATTTTTAAATTCAAGACAAGGTTAAAAATGAGGGGTATCTTTTGAATGAGAAAAATTGCCAACTATCATAAACATTACATGATCCAGAAAAACAACATGTTTGGAATAAATTACTCTCTGTTACCGTTTGTCTACTTTCTTTGGCTGCATTTTCTTTCTTTCTTTCTCTTCCTATCTCTCTCTTTTTCTTTCTTTCTTTCGTCAGTCTCACTCTGTCAGCCAGGCTGGAGTGCTATGGCAAGATTATAGCCACCACAGCCTCAACCTGTTGGGCTCAAGCAATCCTGTCTCGGTCTTTCAAGTAGCTGGAACTGCAGGTATGCACCACCACACCTGACTCATTTTTAAATTTATTGTGAAGATGAGGTCTCACCAAGTTGCCCAGACTGGTCAATCCTCTTGCCTCCACCTCCCAAAGTGCTGGGATTACAAGCATGAGTTACTTCATCTGGCTTGGGCTGCATACGTTTTGATCATCTCTTTATTGGACAATAATTTTCATATAGTTTTCTACACATAATTGGAATCGAATTTAGTCACGATTAATCAAAATGTTTTTTAAAATTATTGAACACTTAGACTTGGCACCAATGAGAACAGACTCTGCCAATTAAAATTTTACACACCTGATTAGAAGATTTTTTTTCACAGACTACCATCTGGCTCCATGCATATCCAACTTTGTCTCTCCAGCGCTACTCACACTGCCAAGCACTGTAGGATGTTTACACATTATGATACAATCTTTGGCCCTCTCTCTACCTTTGTATATAATGCTAAGTGGACAATCAGAGTATTCTTGAATGGATAGTAACAATATAACTATATAATGAAGCAACAGCATGCCGACTCATATGTAACACACTGAACACAAATTAAATGTCTCTCTAGCTCAACCTCCCTTTAGCTGGATCCCCAAAGTGTTCATGGCAGTTCAACACTACCCAGTATGTGAGAAGGTGTGACAGAGAAGTTAGTGTGGAGAGAGACTGCATGTTTAACCAATTTGAAGCAAATACCTTAATTGTTCAAATTTACCAAAAACATAAGGGTATGAATATATAACATGTTTTTATTTGGATCAGAGAATAAAGGTGTGTGTGTGTAGTATGTATGTATGTGTATATATATATATATATACACATAATTTTTTTTTTTTTGAGTTGGAGTCTCACTCCATCACCCAGGCTGGAGCGCAGTGGCTTGCTCACAGCCACCACAGCACGCTCATGGCCACCACAGCCTCAATCTGCTGGGCTCCAGCAGTTCTGCCTTAGCCTTCCAAGTAGATGGAACTACAGGCACACACTACCACGCCTGGCTAATGGTTATTTTATTTAGAGACGAGGTCTCGCCAAGTTGCCCGGGCTGGTCTTGAACCTATGGGCTCAGGCAATCCACTCGCCTCGGCCTCCCAAAGTGCTGGGATTACAGGCTGAGCCACTGAGCCTGGCCAGGTACATATTGAATGTAAGTTTGTAAATGCATGGGTCAAAACGATACAAAATAAACAGGTAGAATGATTGCTCTCCATAAGGAACTGAATGGCCAGGGACAAAGGAGGGGGGCAATTTTTTTTTAACTCTAATTCTTTTATACCTTTGTATGAATGATCTCTTTAAAGAAACCATTGCACGGTCATCTCAGAATCAAACCTCTACACTGATTAATTCTAAAAAATCAGGTCATGTATACTTTTCTTGGTGAAATAAACACAGTTGAGAGGTTCTCAACAACAACATCAAAAAAGTCATTATAGTAAAGTACTTGAATGCCTGAACATTGAATGTTCAGCTTGGTGACCAGGTGACTAAATGACCTTGAATTGTCTCAATTGGTGCTATAGACTGAGTATTTTGTCCTCACGAATGGGATTAGTACTCTAGTAAAAGAGATTCCAGAGAACTCCCTCCCTCCTTCAGCCATGTAAGAACCAGCCAGAAGACAGCAGTCTATAAATTAGGAAGCAGGTCTTCACCGGACACAGAATCTGCCCCCATCTTGATCTTGGACTTTCCAGACACCAGAGCAGTAAGAAATACATTTTCGTTATTTAGAAGCCACTCAGTTTACAATATGATGCTATAGTAGTCCAAGCAGACTAAGACAATTGGTCTTTTCAGTTTCTAAATTTTAAGGTGAGCACAGTATCTGAAATGTTGGAAGGCAAACCCTTCAGTAGTAACAGTCCTCTGTAATTGCTGATGATCTGAGTAGGTATCAGGAATTTTATCCTTCTAAACTTGTGTGATATGCACAAGTGGAAAAGGTAGTTCTGGGGAGGAGGAAATATACCTCAAGAAAGAAGACTGGGAAAGATAGAAAGTTTTTCAAATACCAAGGGATATTAAGAGGGTGCTAGTTGAATAGCCTGTAATTGATTAGTCAGGTAATGTCAGCAGTTGTGGGCATAAGATTGTGAGCATTAGGAAAATAGAAAAAGGTCTAGAATAGCTGGAATAAGGAATGTGGTCCTAACTATTCAGAAGGCACAACAGATTTGCTGAGCAGCAATGAAAGCTTAGCTGAGATTAGTTAGCATTAATTACAGTTAAAAAGTCATTGATTTTATTATCTATTACAAACTGCAGGTTTTCAAAAGGTCCAAGGGATCTTATTTTAAAAATGCAATTAGCTAACTTTCCTATAAAAATGTTTAGCCCACAAATTTGAATTGTAAGCCCATTAGAGCAAAAATAATGTTTTTTTCCTGAAGCAAACTTGGTGTGTCTCTAGAATATGGCCTTAGGATACTGGTCATAGTTCCCAATATGAAGACATGGTTGAGAATTTCATTACATGTTGTCTTCTTTAATTATCAGAACTATTTCTCCTGTGCATTATTTTCCCTCCTATAGATGTTGCACATTGTGAAACTGATTGGATCCATTTTCAAGTCAGCTAATAGTTGAGAGGAAAATATGTCTGGATTCACTACGTGTTAAGGAATAGTTTGGTCTCATTTCTTCTTTCATTTTATAACTCTACCCTTGCTCCTCCTCCTTTATTATCTTGTTTCATTTTACATATCCTAAAAGCCACTTTAAATCTCTTTTTGGAACAAGAATGTATAAATATTAAACATACAAATACTTAAAGTACTTCAAGTACTTTAGTACTTGAGATAATTATTAAATGAAATGCATGTCTCAGCTGGGCTCGGTGGCTCAGCCTGTAATCCCACACTTTGGGAGCCCACGGGTTCGAGATCCGCCTGAGCAACTTAGTGAGACCTCACCTCTACAATAAGATCAAAAAAATTAGCTGGGCATGGTAGTGCATGCCTGTAGTTCCAGCTACTTGGAAGGTTGAGGCAGAAGGATCACCGGAGCCTAGCAGGTCGAGGCTGCAGTGGCCGGGAGCGTGCCACTGCACTCCAGTCTGGGCAACAGAGTGAGACTCCAACTCAAAAAAAAAAAGAAAAGAAAAGAAATGCATGTCTCCAGGTACAAGGCCACGAGACTCAAAAAAAGCTTTATCTTACAACTTTCCTTGAAAACAGGATGGTAGTTTATAGAGCAGAAAACCAAATTTGTATCAGAGAATTATAGCAAAATGAGTTGAAAAATGAAGACTCAAGTGGCTATTGCGCAATTCTCTTTTCGGAAGAGGACACCTAGCACAATTACGTCTGAGAATGTAAGTAAGGCCATTAGCCCTATCTTGGAGGCTTTCTTTCCAACTCAGCTGACACTATTCAAAATCAGTATGTGGTGGTGGTGAAGAAGGTGGCTCTGGAGTCATACTACCTGGTCTCAAATTGCAGTTTGAGCCGGGCTCGGTGGCTCAGCTTGTAATCCCACGCCTTTGGGAGGCTGAGGTGAGTGGATTGCCTGAGCCCGCGGGTTCGAGACCCACCTGGGCAGGCGAGACCTCATCTCTACAATAAAATAAAATAAAAAATTAGCTGGGCGTGGTAGCACGCGCCTGTAATTCCGGCTCCTTGGAAGGCTGAGGCGGAAGGATCGCCGGAGCCCAGCAGGTCGAGGCTGCTGTGGCTGGGAGCGGTTGCTGCACTCCAGTCTGGGCGACAGAGTGAGACTCCAACTCAAAAAAAAAAAAAAAAAAATTGCAGTTTGCCACTTGAGCGGCGTGACCTTGGGAAAATTACCTGTTTCCTCACTTGAAAAATGGTGCTAACAGAACGTAGCACATAAGATCTTGAGGACTTAATAAGTTAATATTAGTAAGGTGCTTAAAACGATGTCCATGACATTTAAGTACACAAAAAAATTGGTAGCTATAATTATTTTGGCCTTACAGTTGGTAAGACTCATGAGCCCCTTAAGGTCCATGCCAAAACTTTGGACCCAAACAAGTCAATGAGTAGCTGGATTCCGGAAGCCCAAGCTAATTTGTAGCTGAAAAACAAAGAGGCTTGCGATCACAACGCTGCAAAACACCTATGTAAGTAAAACCTTCAATTTAAAAACTCTGCACAGGTTTGATATTTCTACATAAATTGGCTCCTACTAGAGCCCTTATGGAATCTGTTTATTAAACATATTTAATTGAAGGCCTACTTTATTAAGCATTGTCACAAGTTTTAAGTACCACGAATCATTACAGACCAAACAACCATTCTTTCCCCCTTACTGCTTCAAACTATTGTGGCCAAATAAAAAGCTCCTAGACTTACCAAAATGCCTTAAGTGTTAATACCTGTCATGAATTTAATGGAATCACAAGTAGGAGCCTATCACAATAAAAAGCCTAAACATACTGAAAACATACACAATGTTTTACAATAAGTACACTTCGGGGTCCCATTAGCTGGGGTCAGTCCCACTTGGGAAGTATTTGGCAGGAGTGAAGAAAAGAGTGACAACTGCTTAGTCCCACTGGATCTTTCGCTCCTCTTCGGGAAGAATACTCCAGTTTGGGGAGGCCTCATCCCTGGCCAGCCAGTTGAAATCGTCAACATCGTTCCAGTTATTTTTGCTCCTATCTAAACCAGACCCCTCGAAGTCCTTGTCGATGCCCGGGTAGCTCCAGGTGTAAGGGGCAAACTGGATCCCATTGGAGTCCTCCACGATGGCCCTGCTGATCACCTGCAGGAAGACGCGGGTGTCTTTCGTGCTGTGTATGCGGAGCTGTTGGCAGGCCACGGCCAGCACGCAGTCACTGCAGTCCTCCAGGAATACAGAGGTGGACACTGGGCCGCAGAGCAGCTTGCATCTGCGGGCCTTGGTCAGCCGCAGGGTGTTGGGATTGCCATATAGTTTGATGGTGCAGTCGCTCAGATCGGTCAAAAGGACGTCGCGTTGGTACAGCTCGTCGGCTCTCTTCTCCAAGACCTGGGACTCGAGGTTGGAGAAGCCACAGACCCAGCTGGAGCCGAAGCCTCCCTCCTCCTTCCCGGGCAGCGGGGAGGCCTGGATGCCTGCAGCTGCTGGGGCACCAGGAGCTGCGCCTACTTTGATAGACGATGCGGCCTTTCTCCGGGTCTTGAAAGCGAAACGCTTCTTGGGCTGCAGGTCCCGGCGCCGCTCGGCCAGGGCCGCCTGCAGCCGCGCCAGCACCTCTTGTCCCTGCCTCAGGTCATAGGCGGCTAGGAACAAAACCGAGTCGTTGAGAAGTTTCTGCAGCCCCTGGAGCCGAGAGGCCGCCTCCTCCAGCCGCTCGAATGACTCCCCGCCCTCCAGAAGCTCTTCCACGGCGGCTCGCTCTCGAGCGAAGGCGGCGGCAAAAAAGTCGCTGTTCTCTTCCTCCACCTCCCGGTTCTGCCGCTTTTGCTTCCGCCTTTCCACCTCCAGTTGCCGCTCTTGTTCACGTCTCTGAAGCCGCTCGGGCACCAGGCTCAGGTCCCGCTGGGACCCCATGTCTTGGTTCCTCACAGAGCCGGAGGAGCAATTGGCAGTCTCCATTTTGACTTCAAGCTTCCTCTCTCACGCCTTCCTTCCTCCGGGCGCGCCCTCCATGAGGCCTCCCACCAACGCGCCCTGCGATTGGCCGGTCTCAATGACGTCATACCAAAGGCTTATTTTCTTCGCCTATTGGTTCCTCTGAGTCGGAGGGGGCGGGGCCGACTGACAAGGGGGGTGGAGAGACAAAGGTCCTTGTGGATGGGTGGGGTGGGAGGCAGGCGGGGGAAGCTTTTTTTCTCTCTTAAAGGGGCAGGACTTATATCCGGGATTGTGGGGTGAGTTGCAGCAGCGGCAGCTGCACATGTGGGTTTGTTTATAAGAACAAGGTTAGAAACTCGCAGGCCTCCCCCTCCCCCCAGCTCCTCCCTACTACCCCCTAGCAGGCTGGAGATCCGCTACTGGGGGGGGTGGGTGGGAGGAATGTGTGCGTGTGGTGGGCTGAGGGGACAGGTAGTGGTGAGAAAGATGGAGGGGGGGGAATATTGCACCGCCCGGCCCGCGCCGGAGGAAGCAGCAGCTGGAACAGCTGGCTAGGGAGCCTTTTGCATGCCTGATTTTTTCTTTTCCCTTCCACCACCCCTTTCTCCTACCCATTCCTGCCGCCCCATAACCCTCACCCTTCCCGCCCCCTCCTTCCCCCATCCACTGCAGTTCGGCGCCGCCTGGGGGCTCCAGGGTCCCCGCAGGCAGTTACTGGGGTGGGAGAAGGCGAGGGCCACCACGATGGGAGAAACTGGGTTCCTCTCCGCAATCAGGTTCGAGGTGCCCTGGGGGAGTCTAAAAACAGATTACTATTTTCTTGGCCAATTGCTGCAGTCGGAGGGGTGGGGGTAGGGGAGGGTAAGATTCCACACCCCTTTTCTCTTCTTCCCCTGCCCGTCCCCCTCTTCATCCCGGCCACTCCCTCTACAGCTGGGCGCCGCTGGCCGCGATGGGGTGAGACCCCAGCACGGAGCTCCTCGGCTCTCTGTAGGGCCGTGGGTCTTTGGGAAGGCGTTGGGGGAAAGGGTACATTATTTCTGGAGACGGTGGGAGGGATTTGCTACCGGAAGTGAATGGCCTAGCCTAAAGTCGGGACCAACCCAGGGTGTGGGTGGGCAGCCAAGACCGCGTAGTCACTGATAAAAACCCCAAGCAGCTGGCCGGGCGAGAACCCGCGACGCAGGGCTCCTGCGCGCCGCAGCCTTGCGTGCTTCATTTGGCCCCGCGGAGCTCCTGGACTCTGCCCGCCCTTCCAGTCCTCGGTTTCACTCTTATCTACCTCGTTCCCGGCCTCCATCGTTTTGTAATTGGGGTATTTAAACTGCCCAGAAAACTTGAAATTCCACCGATCTATCCAGAGAAAGATGGGAGGAAATGAGAGCTATCAAATTAAATCTGAATGAAAACTGAGCTCCGATTTTCACGCCCCTCCCCCACCTTCCCATTTGAAACAAACCAAAACACACACACACACACAAATTCGTGGGTTGAACAGAGTATTTATCTGCTAAGAGTTAGCACAGATCACACCACGTGGCAAATTCCTCGCGCGGGCGGGGGAAGGGGCAGGGAGAGAAGGTAGTCTTACATGTTTGTGTGTTACGTGGGTGCACCCGATGGAAAGGGGGTGCCAGAAAATAACAGTGATTATTCTTGTAGTATACATCGTTTTCAGTAGTTTTGTTTTATGGGCAAAGAAGGTAAGGCTTTTGGTTTTGCTTTTTTTTTTTTTTTCTCCCAAGAGGTAAGTTTACTTCTCAAACTATGGTTCTAAGACTGGTGAGTGAAATATAGCTGGTTATCTTGTCCAAATCATGCAGAGCAATGCGATAGCTGCTTTATTTTATGAAATGTTGATTTAACCAAAAAAAGTTTTAGAAGACTTATTTTGCTATGGGGAAGGGAAAAAAAACTGACCTGCTTCTCTTAAGTTTTTAAGCAGTTGATACTGTCCCATTCAAATTAGGAAAGTTTGTAGCCAAAGAAAGTTTATTGGACTTAGGGGTTGCAGCTGGAGTGAGATAACATTTGTGTATTAGGCATGGTGAATCTATGGGTGTTGTAAGTGTTGGCTGTATCCCAAGTGGAATTGAATGTCGTTAGCTGCCCACCAACAGATTTTTGCATGGAGTCCAGTAGTCTTTGGAAGTTTCTGAATATTTGAAGTTGGCTAGTTCAAACTTTTAAGAGAAGAAAGCATTAGAGGACAAAACTTGGCAGGTCACCCAGTTGACCCAGTGTGTTGGAGGTAGTTTCAAAGACTGATGTGAGGCATGAGTGGGAGTGGTCATTGTGAAGCATTGACCTGGCAGTTCTTCACAGCCCCCAGCATAGCTGCAGCCCAAGATAAATGGTCAAGACATGGACATAAAGCTAAAGCTATGTTTCTGAGCTCTAGTACAGTAGGAAGGCTGCGAAACTGCTGGCATTGCCACACTGTGTTTGCATCCTCTTTCTGACATTTGAGGGCAGTGGATTCAGCTTGCATCCTTGAAATGGAGCCCAGTGGGTCAGAGGTAAGTGCCTGTACTGATGGAAGGAAAGAGGGGGATGCATTACAGGGGAAGTGTGCCAAAAGGCAAGCAGCTGTGAGTTCTGCATCCTACTTTCAATAATACCTCAAAGGATTTGTGAATCAAAGGACCGCTTTCTTGTAAACAACTCGAAAAAGGAAAGAATTCTAAGGTGTTATGGGCTTTAACATTTAACAACGATTTAGATACTTTATGATTCTATTTCTTGGTTAGATTTAGTTTCTTTAACTTTTTGAAAATTTCCAACTTACATAAAATGCAAGCAGTGTTCCGAGGACCCATATACCCATGACCCAGCTTCAGCAATTACCAGCTAATATTAACTGAAAAAAGCCAGGCACAGAAAGACAAATATCACATGTTCTCACTCGTGCAGGAGCTAAAAAAAACTAATCTCATGGAGATGGAGAATAGAATGATAGTTACCAGAGCTAGGAAGGGGAGTAGGTGTGAAAACAGGGTGGTTAAAAGGTATGAACATACAGTTACCTAAAAAGAATAAGTTCTAGTGTTCAATAGTACAGTCGGGTGACTAGAGTTAACAGTAATTTATTGTGTTATTCAGAATAGCTAGGAGAGGAGATTTGAAATGTTCCCAACACAAGGAAATGATCAATGTTTGAGGTAATGGAATATCTTAAATACCTTGATTTGATCATTACACATTGAATGCATGTATCAATATATCACATGTACCATAAATATGTACAGTTATGCATCAAAAATAATAAATTTTAAAAATTGCTAACTGACGATCTTGTTTCTTCTAAAACCCTAGTCACTTCCCCGCCCCACCCACACATTTTTGGGCAGATCCCAGACATTATATTATTTCATATTTCACAATCTATAAATATTTCAGTATATATCTCTCAAAAATTATTACCTGTGCTTTCCTTTTAAAACATAATCACATTGTCATCATCACAGTCCAAAAGAACATAGAAAAATTTTTCCTTAGCACCATGAGATTTCCAATCCATTTCAAAACTCTGATTATCCTGTAATTTCCTTTTTTTAAAGTTATTTTATTTGAATAAGGAGCCAAACAACCTCCATACAATGTGTCTAGTTATTGTATCTTTTAAATCACTTTTAGTGTGTGGGTTCCTTCTCCCGATTGTTTGGTTGAAGAAACTTGATAATTTGTTTAGTAGAGTTTCTGCAGTTTGGATTTTGCTGGTTGCAAGCCTACACATTGTTAAAATTTAAATCCTTGTTTTATCTATTTGATCTTTTAATGTCACAAAGGGAGTCTCATGATTATAATTATATCCCAAGAAATAAATAACCAAGTAATGAAAGCATTTAGGCAAAGTAAAACAGTTTTCGGGTATGGTTATATAGCAAGGAATAAGGCCTTTGGTGTTCTGTGGGGTTTTTCAGAGACCCTGTGCAGGTGGAAGATGCCAGCCACACCTAGGCAAATAAAGCAGATCCAGGCCTTGTTTTCTAGTAGTTCAGTGCCAGAAGGAGGCATCACCTATTCATCTTTCAGCAAGCATTGAATATATATGGATGTAAAGCATTCCATAAAGAGCCTATATGTAAAAGATCAAATGCTAGGCAAATCTTCCTACCTTGGCCGCTGACTTTTCTGGCACAGACAGTGAAAGATGACAGCTGTGAAGGCATGTCCTGTTGTTGGGAAGCTGGACAAGAGCACAGCCTCTTCCTTCCGCCTTTGCCCCTGCCTCTCTCCTCCCCTCAACACCCTTTACTTTCTGGAACTTTTTTCATCATTTCACGCTAATGTGTGGTAGAGAGGCTGGCACCTGTTTATTTTTCTAAACATCTGTTCCTGTGTCCAGCACTAAGCCAGGGAGGCCCTAAGACTGCCTAGATGAGTAAAGACAGTCATAGTCTCTCTCCTCTTTAAGGAGGCCTAATCTAGGCAGGTAATCACACAAGCATGTAAAATTCTAACAGTGACAAGGATAATCATTATAAAAGAAAGAGGCATGGGGGAGTCCACTAGTAAGTAGTTAACCTTGTTGAGAAGGTCACCGAAGGCTTGAGAGAGACTGAGCTGAAACTGGAAGGATGAGTAGGAATTAACAAGGAGTAGTCCAGTGAACATTGTGGAAAGTATCCTCTAGATGTGTGGGCTTGTGGGGGTCACTGATGACGGTGAAGAGCCGTGTAAGGTGTACAGGCTGCAGAGGTAAGAGGTAAGGGATAGGAGTCGGGGAACAGAACTAAGGACAAATTCAGATTGACTTTGGAGAAGTTTGACTGGAAAGGGGAAGTGGGAGTAACTAGGGGATGTAGGAAGCCAGTGAGGTGTTTTTGTTTTGTTTTTTTTCCAGAGAGACTTAAGCATGTCTAAAGGTCAATGGGAAGGATCCAGATGAGAGGACAGCTTCAGCAGAGGAGAGAGAAAACATAAAGTATATACTATTAGGGTCCTGGCAGGGTTGGAGGGAATGGGACCCAAAACACAGGTACAAAGACTAGCCATAGATAGGAGACTGCAGTGTTGTTTGATATCAACCCATAGTAACAGATGTGTAATAATTGAGACAGAAGTTTTAAGAAACTATAAATATTCTTACTATGTGTGATAGACTCTATTATCTATTCTAGTTATTGCATTAAAATGCTGATCAAGACCCCTCTAAATTA